AAGACCAGCTTCTGCTTTAAACTGGACTGACTAAATATCTACTATTAAAAAATACAAAATATAAACATGCAAAATACAGTAAAAAACCCTAAATCTGTTGAAACATGTCGATCTGATGGCGGTTGAGTTTGCAGCTGGATATTATTGGGAGATCGCTGACAGGAACAGTGAACAGCTCTGCCAGAGTGAGTCTGAAGCTCATATGCAAGTTTATTTTCCATTCTATGGCAGAGACACCATTGAGCCTTGTTAGATCCTCCTCTATGGACATATATGATTATTAATATGGGAATACTTTAATATAATAGGTTAATAATACAGTAATACACTATTATTAACATTTAAACAATAAATCATTTGAATATCCAGCCTTCTGTAGGGAAATATATTGTCATTAATATGCTAACAGTAATATGTAATTAATACATTAATAATATGTTTAGTGTCTAAATATGGAGCAACCACATTTTTCTCTCACTCATATAAAATAAAATCCTAATTTAGACACTTTCATGCTTTTTTAATATCAGATTTATTTTTCTATTTTATGCTACGTTTATGTCCATGCATGTCCATGTGGCGACCCCTGATAAAAAGGAGTTAAAGCAAAGTGAAGTGTTAGTAATGTAGCTCATTTGCACGCACTCAGGGTTTAGCGAACGTCCAATAAAGCACTCGAGTGTGTGTGAAGGAGACATTAATCAAAGCTTTACTCTGAAACTGAACCCGCTGAGCTCTCAGAAGACCTCAGGACTCAGTGAGCTTTCATTAAACACTCAAGTCTGAGCCACAGTGCAATCAGCCACCAATCAGAGCGGACTGTCATTAGCTGACAGCCAATGAGAGATTGAGAGCTCCTGAGAGAGGGCGGGCAGACAAACACAAATCTGGGAATGAGTGAAAGCAGTGTTAGATATATGTGAGGGCTGGGAATATGCTGTTCACTTCAAACAGGGCATTAAAATTATTCACCCTCCTGTGAAATGTTGGTCCAAGTGATGTTTAACAGACCAAAGATTTTCTTTCACAGCATTTCCTATATTTTTTCTTCTGAGGAAAGTCATATTTCTTTTCGTTTAGCTGGAATAAAGGGAGTTTTAAATGAAGGTTTTAAAGCAATTTTAAACAATGCAGGCTCATTGTGGATATGTACCCCTGTCTACATTTCTAGAGAGCGCGAATTATGTAGCCAGAAGTATGTATGGCTGCATTTCGTCTTTAAAATGAACACTATGGGGGTTGGTATGACGCCGCTGAAGCTTTTGTTCTTTTTCGCGATATCTGCTGACCGCTTACCTCCACGTGGACAGCTTTTCCGGTGTTACCAGTTTGCCCAGTAGCTCGCTGCGTACGTCAGTGGACTTTGAATGCGAAGCAGAGTTGACTGTGACGATGGGGTTTGAGTCCGATGAAGACCGGCTCCATAAACCAGGTAAAACAAAAGAATACATTTTTATTTAGAAAAAATAAATAAATAAATCAATAACGTGGTAAAATTACATGACTGCGACAGCTTTTCTTTTTCTAGATTGCTTTTGAAAACACTATTGGTTGGGTATACAATTAACTGCATCGGTCGTGGAGTTTATCCACAATGGATGTCTAGCGTTCTCCAGCCTCCGGCGCCTAGACTGCAGCTCTGCACTGGAAGTTTGGCCAGAGGAGAAGCGGCAGTGCCCTGGCTTCTCTCGAGGTTTTTTTTACTTTGTCACTTTCGTCAATTGGTGAAGTTTTGTTCCTCACCACTGGCTTGCTTGGTTTGGGACATCGATAGATTTGCTCTTCAGTGTTTGGACTTTCAGTAGTAAAAATGAAACCACACTGAACTAAACTAAATTGAACTTCAACTCTGAAAACTGGACTGACAGTTTCATTTTACTGGAACTTCTATGTTAAGCTGCTTTGACACAGACTACATTATAAAGGCGCTATAGAAATAAAGATGAATTGAATTGAATTGAGAGACGGTGGTCGGTGGGTCAGTCAGTCGACAGCAAGATGGCCTGGTTGGCTGAAGTGTATATTGCACCCTCTGGTGGATTAATGCCAGAAAAGGATGCACGAGAGGAATTTGTGATCATCATTAAGCATTCACAGCGGTCTCTGGATTTGCAAAAACAAAAACTGCAAGCAGAGGTACCTCCGGTTGTGTATTTCACCGTCCCCAGAAATGTAGACCTGGGTACGTATCCGCAATAAACCTGGGTTGATTTTAAAGTATTGAGCCTAAAGTGCACTTAAAAGGCTTATTGAAAAAAAATGATAGTTTCTTAAGAGAGCTAATAATATCGACCCTAAATATTATTTAAAAATATTCATTCATTCATTTTATTTTCAGCTTAGTCCCTTTATTAATCTGGGGTCGCCACAGCGGAATGAACCACCAACTTATCTAGCATATGTTTTATGCAGCGGATGCCCTTCCAGCTGCAACCCAACACTGGGAAACATCCATGCACACTCATTCACACACTACAGACAATTTTAGCTTAACCCATTTCACCTATACCACATGTCTTTGGATTGTGGGGGAAACCGGAGCACACAGAGGAAACCCACGCCAACAAGAGGAGAACGTGCATTATTAAAAAAATGTATATATATATATATATATATATATATATATATATATATATACATACATACAACAGTTCTGTCTGGTTCTCAAATCTGATTGGCTGATAGCAGTGCGACATGCTGCAATATCAGAACTCCTACAGCCTCTTTACCCTTTGTGTATTACTCCGCCCACATACAGCCAACAGAAAGCAGACATTACAGATCTAAAGTTTAAAAGATGCTTGCTCAGCTGTTTAACTGTCCGCTTATGATTTGAATCCGGAAGAAAGTAGTTCCTCATACCAAAGGGTTTTTGAGACTCTCCATGTTTGATTTTGTTTTTATATACACAATTATGTCGTCAAACTGTTGTATAAACGCAATATCACACTCGTAGCAGTGCGATATGGCTGTATATCGGCACTATATATATCGGCGATATACAGCCATATCGCATTGCTACTCGTGTGATATTGCTCATATATATATATATATATATATATATATATATAAAAATCACGAGAAATAACATTACAGGAAATACTATGAAATTGTGCTTGATCTGCTAAACAGCTCTTGGGAAATACTTGAAAAGGAGGACAGGAGGGCTAATAACATTGCCCGCATAAAAAAATTATAAAATATGAAGGATATAAGCTTTAAACACTGTGAAAAATTGGGATAAACTGAAAAAACACTTGCTGATGTGCACAGACGTCAACCATGCAACCATATATTGGGCATTTCTTATGCATAAACTTCATTTTTCCCCGGCTTCAGTCTATAGATCAGGGGTGCCCGAACTTTTTCTTATAAGGGGTCAAAAACAAAACTTGACTGAGGGCTGTGGGCCGAAGTTAAATATGCCAAACTGTATTGCATAAAATTTGCCATGGGTAATTTCCCAATTTATTTCCTAATATTTGAAAACGACTAGAAAATGTTGCTTTTAAACATATTAATCAATGATGCAGCATCATTTTTAACATTTTATTATGAAAATTATAGTAAAATCATAAACAATCCCATTTAAAATGTTACATTAAATTCTAAATGACGATCTCTGTCAAAGCCTTTCCCCATCATTCTCCCTCTCTTTTCAGATGGGACCAAAGGTTACCATGGGCCAACTTTGGCTCGCAGGCTCTACTTTGAGCACCTCTGCTATACATGCTTTATACTGACCTGTTCTGATTGATAATGACGTCATTAGATGACGATTATTAGTTTAAACTTTCAGGATAAGCCTCTATATAAGGTTATATTTCAGCACATTACAAATGGAAAGTGACTCAGTGGCATGTACAGCAATATGAGTTCACTGTGCGTTTTTTGGGAAACATATATAACTACTAAGGGTGTTCATAATCTTGCACATTTTAAAAGAGCACTTTTAAATGCCAAGATACCTTGATATAGGAAAATCTGGCCCAGATCAAAGTATACTGTGATTAGTAGGATAGTAATCCTGAAAATCATGCATGTCTTTGTCATGTAAGTGTTAAAAATGTTCTGTTTTTTCCCCCTCAGATCACTGTAAAGATCTGCGATTCTACTTGATCCACATGACTGAGGTGAGTTACAGTAACAGGCACAGCAAATTAAAACAAGTTTGTTTACGGGTTTTAACATTTTGTATGCGAATGTGAAAAAGAAGTATACTCGAATTCAAAATGTAGAAAAAAATAGCAGGATGACAACATGGGCAAACGTATTATGCTCAGACTACAATTTATATTGCACATACTTCCATATGACCATAAAGAAAATACTTTAAAATCAGTGATTATTTACAGGGACAGTCATTTTCCTAAGCGTTTGCATTGGGAGGGCTGAATTACAGTTTGAGGTTTGCTACCTAAAATTATTTTTTATTGCATCTTTTAAAAAATTCCAGCAATATTCGCATCATATCTTTCACTAAAGACAGATTATTGAGAGATTTAGATCACTAGATTATATTCATATACATTCTAGTCTGATCTAGTCTTACACTGTTAGGCAAATATAATTCCTTTGCAACTGTTCACCAATTTTCTGTGTAAGTAACCCTGAGCTGTTTTTTGTTATGTATTCTCACTGTAAATCAGATGGACAAGTCTGATGTAAACCATGTAAAACAAGAGCAGTGTAAAATCATGGTAAATGGCAAGTGACGTCTTTCCTCTTCTAGTTTGCTTTTGAAAATACTATGGGTTGGGTTTGGAGAAGTGGTCAGTCGATAGCAAACTGATAGAGAAAACATATATATATATATATATATATATATATATATATATATATATATATATATATATATATATATATATATATATATATATATATATATATATATATGAGAGACCTTTAGCCTGGACGGAGGCCACTGTGCATAGTTTTAGATACATGGCAGTAATTATTTTTGAAAAGGTAATTGTTTTTTAAGAAAGGTTTTGTTGAATAAAAAGAGCTATATTTTGTATGTTTTGACATATCATTTAACATTTGTAGATAAGAAATAATATATATATATATTTTTTTAGTTTTGGTGTGGTCAGAGGTAAATTTGGTAAATCCTTCATTTTGAGCCCTGAAAAGTCCTGTGAAATCAAAACCAATCGCAATGCTGCACCATGAAACCACAACCCATTTGCTCATGCACATTAGGCAAGTTCACACACAAAAAAGTGAAATTATTGAGGCATGTGGACAAGTAATTTTAGCATGCCAAAGTTAAATTTATGCATATTAAATATATCTTCCCAACAATAAAATTGTGGCTACTAAAAAATGGTGAGTGGCTAGTATGGTTGGAAATCTACTAGCCACAGTGGCTAGTGATCAAAAAAGTTAATGTCAATCCCTGTGTATATATATATATATATATATATATTAGGGGTGTCAAATATATATCATATGATATGATATGATATGATATGATATGATATGATATGATATGATGTGATATACATTTATATTTTGTACATTTTACACTCAACAATGATTTTTGCTGCCTGTTCAAACTACTTATTTTTAGTCAGCACAGATCTTGTGGGTTATTTGAGACAACTTAATTGTTTTATGCTCAATCCACTTAAATTTGTAAAAACAATTACTGTAAGTTCATCGTTTTGTGTCGTGTCAGAATTCATCTTAAACTGTAAAAACTCCTGGATTCTTCACAATTCCTTCATGTTGTCTCAACACAAATCGATTAAGTTAGATTAATTGCTATTGCAAATTTTAAGTGGATTGAACCTAAAACAACTGAGTTGTTTAAAAATAGCTTAAGAATTGTGTTGTTTCAGCTCATTTTAAATAAATACGCTATCTGACAAGTCTTGTCACCTAAGTTTTAGGAACAACAAAAAATAAGTTGACTTCTAGTTGATCATTTGCTATCAGAAGTGGCTTATATAAAGGCAAAAGGCTATAGATTATGCTTATTTGACCAAATAAAATATAATCATGCCTTGATTTATGAATTATTTAATTAGGATAGTAAGATCTGACTTTGCTTAGAAAAACGTCTTGTCACTGAACAGAAATAATGTACAGTATAGGATTTATATAGGATTAGATTCATCTTCAATGCCTCCTCCCTTATCTTACCCCAGACATGCTCAATAAGGTTCATGTCTGGTGACTGGGCTGGCCAAACCTGGACCTTCTTTGCTTTCAGGAGCTTTGATGTGGAGGCTGAAGTATGAGAAGGAGCGCTATCCTGCTGGAGAATTGTCCCTCTCCTGTGGTTTGTAATGTAATGGGCAGCACAAATGTCTTGATACCTCAGACTGTTGATGTTGATCATCCACTCTGCAGATCTCTCGACGCCCCCATACTGAATGTAACCCCAAACCATGACTTTTCCTTCACCAAACTTGACTGATTTTTGTAAGAATCTTCAGTCCATGCTGGTTCCAGTAGGTCTTCTGCAGTATTGGTGATGATTGGGATGCAGATCAACAGATGATCCATCAGAAAAACCTTTCACCTTCTGACACTTTTCCAAATGATCAACTAGAAGTCAAGTTATTATTTGTTGCTCTTACAACTGGGATCGACGACAAGACGTTTGTCAGGTAGTGTAGTTTGAACAAGCAGCAATACATTTGAGCACATATAATTGATGTGATTAAAATGTGACACTACATTTATACCCCTCTATAAAGCACCATGATATGCCTCGAGACTTAATTTGATGCTGTCCATGATTGCTAGTGATGTAATTATTAGCTGATGGTTGATCATAAACTCCAGTAACGGGGTTGAAAAGCTCTGATCTATTAGATCGATCGGGAGCGAGCATCTGCTGTGATGTGTGATGGATGCTGCGAGTAACATAATGCAAGACTTTAATTTGATTCGTCTTTCTCTCATGTCTCATAATAGTAGCTGGAGATGTCACAGGGCAGAGACAGACAGATAAACCTGCTCCACTAAGAGAAAAACAATCTCATTAGAGGAATATCTCATGTGTCTGCATGTTTTTCACTCGTGGTCGTCTTCCGTGTTCAAGCATATGCCAACTCTCGGTCGTTTGACAAGCATAATCACACTGAGGTTGTGCATTATGTTTGCATGAGAAAATGAAATATCCTGGGCGGCATCATGGCTCAATGGTTAGCACTGTTGCCTCACAGCAAGATGGTTGCTGGTTTGAGTTTGCTGGGTCAGTTGGAATTTCTGTGTGGAGTTTGCATGTTCTCCCCATGTTGGCGTGGGTTTCCTCCTGGTGCTCAGCACAGTCTAAACCCAATTTAACCAAATTAGCCATAGTGTGTGGTTGAATGTGAGAGTGTATGGGTGTTTCCCAGTACTGGGTTGCAGTTGGAAGGGTATCCGCTGCGTAAAGCATATGCTGGAATAGTTGGTGGTTCATTCCACTGTGGTGACCCCTGATAAATAAGAAACTAAGCCGAATAAAAAATGAAAGAATGAATGAAATGAATCCTTACCCTGTTTTTACAACTGAAAAAGTATTTAATTACAGTAACTTGTTACTTGGTAACTAATTACACCCAACACTGAACTCAACCGACACAGAATATCAACGCCTACTTTTACATCACAGCCTGTTAAGCTCCGCCCACTGGTTCACAATGCAGTAGGTCAGGGGTGGCCAATCCTGTTCCTGGAGATCGACCTTCCTGCAGATTTCAGTTGCAACCCTAATCAAACACACCTGTTTGTAATTATCAAGTGGATTTCAGGTCCTAATTAATTGGTTCAGGTGGGTTTGATCAGGGTCGGAGCTAAACTGTACAGGAAGGTAGATCTCCAGGAAGTAGGTAAATAATGATAGCAGCAAATACAGATCTACAAAGAAATCAAATGATAAATGGTCTAAATGGGTGCCCAAACTCGGCCCTGGAGGGCTGGTGTCCTGCATATTTTGGTTCCAACCAAGGGTCATGAAACCCCCTCGTTTCAGCAGGGTGTTTTCACACCTCTACTTTGGAAAAAGTCTGGAAAGTAGGCGTGTCCAGCTCTGTTTAGGGGGGAGTGTCGGAGGAGGGCAAAAGCCATGGTCCGTAAAAATTTGCATAAAAATGGGAGTGTCGGTTTGGGCATGCGCTGATTTTCACACAGGCAAAACAAACACAGACGCAGAGGAGAAAGACAGTAGCTATGTTTCCATCCACCTATTTTATGCGCATTTTGCAAATGCTCATAAAAAAAACAGTTGATGGAAACGCCATGATGAGCGTAAATTTTGAAAATGCGCATAAAAAACTTATGCGCCTAACTGGGTAGGACAAACTTTTTATTCGATAAGAAAAGATGTGCATAAACTGCGATGAAAACACTTTTACCGCACAAACTCCAACATGCGCATTAAAAAAGGTTATGTGATTTTGTTAAAGGAGATCATGTGATGCTTAAATCGTGTATGAATGGACAAAACGTCAGGCTGAGTACATTATAAAACATCTGAAATGCTGTTTTGGTCATTATAAAACACCTTACCATTTCAGTATTAATGTTATTATATTATTAATGAATCAAGAGCGCCTGTGCTGCGCGTCTGACACCTTCACACGCCACTGCGCGCTCACTGCATGTCAGAATTGTCTTTTGAGGCGCATTCACTTAGAAAAGCTTGATGCAGCTTCTCCTACTGCAGCAAAGGCAGTTTTTACTGTTGATATTTGGCGCCAGTTAATCAGGAAGTGATGATTTTGGTCGCTTTGACTCGTTGGATGGAAACGCTGCTTCATTCGCACAACTTTTATGCGATAATCCAGTTTTGCAAGTTCATTCGCATTTTTGGATGGAAACATAGCTAGTGACTGTGTTTACATGGACATAAGGGATCAAATTATTTACCAAATTATTAAATGGTGGACTTTAACTTCACTTTGGCTCTTTCATTCTGGAATTTCATTCATGCCCCTCGTGGCAACCGAGATATTTGATTCAAGGAATTGCTGGAAGCGTGTATCTTTCATGCAATGTTTGTTACTGCACGGCGAATGAGAGAAAAACCCTCCACATTTCTCTGTAACTTAGATGCACTCAGTGGATAGCGTCAGAAAGCCGTGTGTGTTATTCCTGTTACAAAATGCCGCAAAAATCCTAAACGTTGGTAAAT